ACATCTTCAAGCTGCCAAGGTTGAGGAACACTGGTCTATAGTGTGTAAGCAGATAAAGAAACTGAACTCAACGGGTCTGTCTCACCATTGTTCTTGGGCTGGGTGTGACAGACCTCGAGCTTTCTACCTACACAGTTACTAGTTATTATTAGTCAGTTGTGTAGAACTGAAAGAACTGCTGGGGAAGAGACATGATCTTTTAAAAAAAAAAATCTGTGTTTTGTTCCATGGCATTAATTTTAAGATGGCCTCAGGAAAGGTTCCACAGCCAAGTTTTATGAGATAGGATTATACAAGGTGAGCTGTCCTGTTTCTGTTTAATGAAACAAAGAGGCTATTTAAAACTTTGGTCTTGGGGGGGAGGGATAAAAGTTCAGACAATTAATCAGAGCCGGGAGGGTGGGGCAGCGATCAAGTGTGGCCCTTCCTCAAGGAAGGTGAGACGACAAAGGGGTGGGTGTCAGAATCCTTTCTGTATGATGGAGGCACTGACCTGTTACGGTCCCAAAGAGAATCCTGGCCAATTAATTATAGTTCATGATCCATTTTATCACCGGATTTAATGTGAGGAACAATTAGCAAGAAACTTCCAGGATGACGAAAAGGATTTTATTCTTTTTTGAAAGCAAGGGAGCAGGTTTAACAAACCTCAGGATTGGACAACCATCAGAGAGGTGTGCAAATGGCATTATCAACAAAAGACGTTTGTGCAGAACCTTTTATATACCTAAGGTTTCTGACGTGTGCGTGATAATGGGTGAAACAACCTTTTTCTCCTTGCAAAGACAGTTATTATGTTAGCCCCGTCTCTGGAACTGGATGTGGTAGCACCAGGAATACCTTGCTGGAGTAACCTGAAATACAGAAATACAGAAAAGAGTCATGAAAATGTTAGGGCAAAGCATGCTCTAATATGCATTGTATTTGGAGGACGTGGCAAGCATAGGTTGAACATGACTAGGAGGATGTGTCCTAAAATAAAAGTAGAAGTGAACTGAAGCAGAACTGAATGGATCCAGAATGGGAAGGGTTGCCCGTTGCTTGCTAAGACACTGAAGATCACAGGGAGGGTTTAGCCAATAAAATCTTTTCTTCCTTCACCCAGAATGGCCGGAGTTCGTCAAGAATTATGCTCCGTGGTGGGTGACGCACACCCTCGACTGGTTGAAATATGGCAAGAAGGTCTTGGTGGTGCATTTTGAGGACCTCAAGCAAGACCTCTTTGTCCAGCTCAAGAGGATGGTCAGCCTCCTGGGCATCGCAGTTCACGAGGACCGCTTGTTGTGTGTCGAGGGACAGAAGGATGGAAATTTCAAGCGATCGGGGCTGAGGAAACTGGAGTATGACCCTTACACTCCAGAGATGAAGAAAATGATCAATGGCTACATCAAAACGGTGGACATGGCTCTGAAGCTCAGGAACCTCACTGGCGTCCCAAAGACCTATTATCCCAGATGATGGGCAATAGTCGGAGCACTGGGTGGAGGAGCTGATCTGCCTTAGGAGGTGCAAATTGGCTTCTTCTTGGCCAGTAACTATTTCCACCCAGTGGGTGGTGTGTTTATGAAGACTCATCCTGCTGGTGCTCGCTTTTAAAGAACCCTTTTGCATGAGCAAAGAGAGTGATTGCCATCTTTCGTGGTTGGCTGAAGATGCTTTGGCCAGCCTGTCCGCAGAAAATGAGGTCCATTGATGGAGGCCTTGCAAAGGGAAATCTTCGCTGCTGCTGCTGCTGCTGCTACTGCTACTGCTGCTGCTGCTTTTTCTCAAAAGTTTGGTGTCCCTTTCCACCCAAGTGAGATAGGTCACTCTGCTCTTCTGTAGCTGGTTGCCTTCTTGAACCCAGTTCGAAATAGGCAACTTGCTTAAAATCCCATTGCTTGGTTGCCTTCCTTGGTTCTGCTGGCCCCACTGGAGTCCTCTATTTTTGAATCCTGGACACTTGGACCTGGATTACTCCCAAAGCCCCATCAAGATGGACCAGCTGACCAATGCTTAGCAATGCTGAAGTGATAGGGTGAAATTGAGATGCACTGGAAGAAGCTGATATATATATTTTTATAGGTGTGGGGAGAATGTAAAACATCCCATAAATATAAAAAGGAGCTTTTCAGGAATTAAAGTCCTGGGCCCCACCATCTGCTTGTCACAGAGCAAATTTTTTACTTGCAGGGATATTTTATACCTAACCGAGCCTTATAATCGCATGGCCATGATATGAAGTGCTGTGATCCGACCCGTCTTCTCCACATCTGACCACCTTCTAAGCAGCATGGCTCCTCCACATCGGAGGTTGACTTGCAAGAGTGGATGGTCCAATTACCACTGGCACCTTCAGCCTCCAGGCATCAAGGGGTTGGGCTGGTTCATACACTGGGGTGCCCCTCCTGCATTTTGCAACAGACTTGCCCTGAGCCTTCTGGACTCGTGGGAAAAAATAATCTCTGGTTGAAGTTCTGCTCACCCAGGACAGATAAGGAAGAACTGGTTGGTCTACATAGCATTCTTGTAGTAGTCTTAGGGTTAGGAAAACAAGGCAGAATTCAGGGACATAATTTGCTTGAAATTCTGAAGGTCCTGGGAAACAGAAGGCTTGGACTCACCCCATCCACTTTCAGGGAAGAAGAGTTGCTTATAGTGGCAAAGAGGCAGCTCATACATGGGGTGCATGACTTCTATTTTCATTGTGTGAAAGCTCAGATTTGAAGGGGTGAAGCAGAGATGCCAGGCAGGGAGTTTTGTTCTGAAACAGTCAGGAAACCAAGCGAGGCATTCTCCGTGGGTTTGTATGTGCCCGAGGGCATCAGAAGTCAGGAACAATGGTTGGGCTAGACTCAGTGCAGGCAACAGCGAGTGCTGCCCAGAGAGACGTCTTTTAAAATCATGTTGCTAGCTCCACAGTCCTCAGCTGAGAGGTCATATAAAGGCACAAGTCCCGTGGCAACAGGAAGGGCATTTGCTTAAACCCTCAGACTCTGTTAGTGATCCTTCTCCTCCGGTCAATGGGCAGTACCAGGGTCTCTGGAGCAAACGGGGAGGCTTTCCCAACATGCGTTATCTGATCCTTTTAGATGGAGCTGCCGAGGACTGGCCTTGGCACGTGCTGTATGCAAAGCAAGCGTTTTGTCACTGAGCTGCAGACAGCGCCTCTTGCAGCTTCCTCTCCCGTGGTCATCCATCGCTGCACAGCTTTGAGTGGCCAGCAGTTATGGGTGCATCGATTTCCTCAGGAGCCCTGCAGGTCTGGAGTTGACTTGAAATTTCTTCAGGTGGCCCACAGAGCAACCAGCCCTGCACTGAGGTAGCCTCTCTCTACTGCTTTTCCTGGACGACGGCACTTCCGTCTGTACATGGTTGAGTATTTTCCATTTCCTCTTAGGGTTCTTTACCACCATTTGCATCTGTCTGGGGTGTAATTCTGAGCAAAAATAGTTAAGTATAAGAAACATTTAAATAATTCATGCTGGGGCAACAAATCATGATTAGGCCAACACCAAGTTGCAGAATGCACGTACATGTTTTAAGTTGTACAGAGAGTGAGGTCACCGTCCTTTTTTTCCGCTTCTGTTGAACTCCTCAGCCATTTATGAAGAGATTAAAAGTCAAATTGTCCTTTTCCCCCTTTCTCATATCTCTCCCCCCGACCCCACCCAGAATAACACCCAGAATAACCCTATCAACTACCATCACAAAAGCCACCTATTGTCCCCAGCTTGTTTCCGGTGCACAATTCTCTCTATTGGATGAAAGCAAAGATATTTCTGCTGTAAGGGACTGGTTGCAAAAGACACCTATTTTTTTACATGCTGTTCTGGAGGGAAGCGAATGGACAGTCGCCAGTGGGCCATTCGTAGAGCCTGGGGCTGTTGGGTGTGCCAATGTTCGCTTCGTATTTCCTCCTCTTGCTTTGATGCTTAGCCAAAGAGGCTCAGGTGGCTTTTGTGTTCCTGAAAAAGAAGAATGGCATAGGATGCGGAGTGGGGAAGGAGTACTGGACCTGCTCTGAGCCTTCGTTTAGTGAAATCTTGGGCCTTTTGTTCTCCTTGTTTCTCAAAGACCAAATAACCTTTGTGCTAGCAATATGATTTCTGCATCTTCCTTCATGGGGCAGCCTCAAAGCTGCTGGACTCCATCTGAACAATCCTCAGGTCAAATGCTGCCCATTAAACCAACGTTTTGTTAATATCTCTACGATTGTAGCCACGGGTCTTTTGTGGGAATCTGTGTCCATGTTTGGCATGAGGGATGGGAGTTGAGCTGGCCCCCTGTTACAGACCCACAGCGCAAGGGATGGATTTGTTGGGTTCTTTTTTCTATAGGAGAGGATGAAGATGAGATTTTCAGTGGTTTGACTGGGTAACGGGATGCTGAGAATAGTTCTGCCTCTGCAAGTAAATTCTGGCAGTACAGTAAGTTCTCAGGCACTTTGGTTCCTAAATGCTATGAATTGGCTCCTCTTGCTTCCTGAACCACTATTTTGGGGCTGAGTTGGTGGATCCAGTCAAAACCAAACCTAAAAATCTCTCTCTCCCTAATCTATATTCATCCTCTGTTGGTATCTCTATCTCCTTCTACTGCTGAACTTGCAAGGAGCAACGAGGGAGCTGTCCTGCTATGATGAATGTCTTGGAAGAGCAGAACCCCAATATATGTTTTGAGGGAAGGCTTGCAGCCCCCCTCCATAAAAGCAGTTTGTGTGTGTGTGTGTGTCTTGAAATATTGCAAGCAGAAATTATACTCTCCCTGTCAATCAAAAAACAATAGCAGTCAATCCCATTAGAATTTTATCTCATGTCTTAAATAACACACAAGATTTCAGATCTGACTTATTCAGGCCCTCTATTTTTACACACACACACATGCACACACGTATTTCCTCTGTCTTCCAAATCCCAGCCCTTGTGTCAGCAAAGCAACACCATTCAGCGCAAAGGGAGTTGCCAGAAGATTTAGGGGAATCTCAAGGTTTGCATAAGGCAAAGATAGGTTGGAAAAAAGTCCATTAGGAGATGGGACCCTTTCAACTACCAAGTACTGTATGTTCAGCGGCCATCAAATGGTGAGTGACCGTTGCAAGGGATGAGAGGAAACTCGGAGAATGGAATGGCACGCCTTGCGAGAAAGCATGGTTGTTGGCCAAACTCCAGCCCGGCAACAGTGCCCGTGGCAACATTTCCCTGCAGCTTCCACTTGATCATGGGGCATGATACTGTATTTCCAAATAGAGCATTCCTGTTTTACACTGTGCTGATGCTCCTCCTTTTCAATCAACCTGCTTTGAAAGCAAGGCACTCTTGCTAATCAGCTACCGAGCAGGATGCTGGACAAGTACAATGGCGCTGGAGGAGGAGATACGGAGCAGGATGGGGGAGCTTTGATCAAGCGGCAGCTGGAACATCACCCAATGCTAGGCGTGGGTTTGCAGGACGGTGGGTGGGCAAGGGAGGGGCTGAAAGCCTTTGGCCAGAGAGGGGCCTGTTCCGCCCCCCCCCGCGCGCCTCGTCCTTCCCTCCTGCGCTGGCCGTGGTGCTGAATACCAAATGAGCCGGCTCCCAGCTCGGGGTCCCCCAGATGCTCCTGCTGTGGGCTCCTCTTCGGCTCAGGCCCCGGGATGCCCCGGGATTTTGCTCAGATCATTTTGAGGAGGGGCTGCTAGGGAGGGGCTGCAGATCTCTTCGGCCCTGGATGGCCTTTCCCCCCAGGCCAAGCGCTGACCTTTCCTTGCCTGACACAGGAGTTATGGAGAAAAAGGGAGTTCATAATCAAGATGCCTTGTGAAATATGAGCAAGAACAAGAATGTAATTCCAGAAGCTATTAAGGCACGCGCGCACACACACACACACACACTTTGATGTCCGTGGTAGGCACAGAAATAAGCAAATAAGTTACCCAAAGGCTGTTTTGGGGATGAGATGTTGAAGGGAGGAGGAGGAGGAGGAAAGAAGGAAGGAGCTGAAAAAAATAATATTTGTCCCCACTGTTGCATAGTCAAGAGAGTCCAAACTGGCTAAACAAGAACTGCAGCCTTCACATTTATTCCATGTTAAGATTTTCCAGTGCCCTTCTTAGATTTGTCTCCCAGTCTCATCCTGATGGCGTTCACACATCATACTTAACCAGGTCCTGTAAAGACTGAGCAAATGCATTCCCACAAAATGCTAAGACGGGCGAGCATGAACGGTGATTTGGGGTTTTTTTGTCATGCCTGGGTTATGTGAACTTAGCTCATTTGGCTAGACTGTGAATCAGTATATGGTGCAAACCCAGAAAACGGATTAATTCAGAAGTGTCGGACTTCAATTTCTACAATCGATGGGACTTGGAACTGGATTACACCAGATCAGGAAAATTTAGATAGGCAGATAGAGAGCTAGGAAAATGGATCTTCTGCCTATCTGCCGGCTTCTCTCTCCCAGCCACGCAGCTCACGATTATGAAGTTTGCCTTCTTTCTTGGATAGCTGCTGAGCTATGCAAAACCCTTGAGAAATGCCCTGGAATGGGAAGACTGCCCATTATGCAAAACCCAGCTACTTCTGCAGATTAGAAGAGCCGTCCCATTTTCTACTGCAGGAGAAGTTGTGCTGAGGAGACCCCCAAAGAAGTTTCTGTCTGGACAGGAATGGGGAAGGCTGTCTACGCGGGAGAAATGCATCAACTTCACTGGCCCGTCAAGCGAGACATGATCAATGGTGGAAGCGGTTCTTGCTTTACGCTCAGGATGCTGACCTTTCTCAGGATTTTGCTTTGCTTTGCATCAAGCTGGCTTATTAATTTTGGGATGCTGCCCCTCCCCAGGAGGCACAGACAACAGCTGGTTGGTTACCTAGTGGTTGCCATAGCAACACTGCCTTCACATTCAAACCCAGGCTGGTTCTCCCTGTAAAATTTAAAAATACTTTGGATGAGCGACTGTTTTAGCAGATGGAGAGAAATGATTCAGAACTGAAACAGGTGAATGTATAGCCTGAACATTAGGACAGCTTCACTTTTCCACAGATAGAAATGTCACCTTAAATGAACTGAAGGCCCTTTTTATCTCTTCCCGTGTAGACACTAAGACCGAGGGCGCTGGCTGGCGCTGGTCCCAGTGGCATCCAGAGCAACAATTCATTGGTTTCTGGGTTGACTTGGCCCCCAATGAAACATTGAGGAACTCGAGGGCCAGTCATTTCCTAAGATACTTTGC